CCTGCTCCTCTAATTTCCTACCACATGGCGCTGATCCCAAAGCAGAGCCCTTAAGGATTTTTGTGTGAACCCTTCACCCAATGCCTGAATTCTCTTGAGTCCAGCCTGAGTTTGCCTGGCTCCACTGATTGGGACCCTCATTACCTCTAGGAGCAGCTCATTTCCTCTTTAGATTACCCCAACCATAAAGCGTTCCCTTTATTGAGCCCAGAGTGTGTTGTTCTCATTTCCATCCATTGATTATTGTTTGTTTAATAATAGTCACTACTAATAGTTGAAATGACCGAATGTCAGCCGCTTTACCTATATTACCTCATTTAATCCAATTTAATCCAAATTAATTTTGAGGGATTATTTCAGGGATAAGAAAACTGAGGCTAAAAACAATTAAGTAACTTGGCCGTGGTCACACAGTAAACAAGGGCTAAGGCTGAAATTTAAACCTCAGCAGGCTGAAGTCAGGGCCCAGACACCCAGCCTAACTCCCAATGTGCTGAGGGGCCATGCCAGACCCAGGCCCCTCAGTTCCCAGGGTCACCTGTCTGTATTAGAAGGCGGACCACATCCCCACACTGAATCTTCTTTTTTCCTAGCCAGTTCCCCACCAGCCTTTGTCAGTAGATAAAGTATGACCCGGGGATAGTGACTGACTGATGTTAATTCAAACCAGCAAATGGGTAGCAGAGAGAGTCAGAGGGAAGAGGTCACCTACCCACGGGCACACAGGTTTGAGGAGGCTGGAGGAGATGACTCTGGGCCTAAGGTTTAAGACTGGAGGTGGCTGGAAATCCAATACCTAAACCAGACACTCCATGCACCCTCCAACTTGAAAGTTGCAGAATCTTCCACCAAGGTGATGCACAGGGTCCAACACCTCAGGGCCAGAGAGATAAAAAAGAAACAGGCCTCTTTAACCCCATATGTAGTCTTTTCTCACATGTGCATTGCTCAGCACTGTCCCCTTGAAACTCTGGAGGAAAAAGGGAGACTCTAAGTGAGGGCAAACGAGAAGCCAGAGGACTGCAGGCCCCCAGTGGCCCGTTAAGCCATAGAGGGCAGTTGAGACAGGGTGTGGATGAGCTTTCCT